CTCCACCCCAGTAAGGGATTTAACTTGTTTAGGCCAAAAATTTTACAATGACACTGCCCAAGAGACCCAACTGTGGGGAACTCCAAACCACATGGAACCACACACAGCCCCACCCATTGGCCAACTTCTCTGCTCTATGAAGAGCTTGGAAAAACCTCACCACAAACACAGATTGGCAGGTGCCCAGGGGACTATATGCCCAGGGGACTATATGAGATCTGTGGAAAGCAAGCTTATATGGTGCTACACAGAAGTTGGTTTGGGTCTTGCATACCGGGCACAATTAGACCGGAAAAATTGGGAGCTCCCATACATGGAGAAAAAACAAATAGGAAGAAACAGGGTGCCTTACAAATTGGCAATTGAAGGATGATGAATGGCCTCCCGAGGGAATCACTTAGTACTATGGTACTGCCACTTTGGCAGAAGATGGATCCTGGGGCTATTGCACCCTGATTTATATGCTCAACTGCATTATTTGTCTCTGGGAGGTAGTTGAAATTATAACTAGTAAAACTGCAAGGGCCCTTGACATACTGGCCTTGACAAACAGCACACAAAGGTACACAATGCAATATACCAAAACCACCTAGCCTTGGACTATTTACTTGCCTCTGAGGGAGGTATTTGTGGAAAGTTCAATCTAAGTAACAGTTGTCTACAGATTGATGATAAAGGAAAGGTCACAGAGGAAATCACAGACAGTATGAGAAAGATTGCCCATGTCCCCGTCTAGACTTGGAGAAGATGGAATGCCAATGACCTGTTTGGAGGATGGTTCTCTGCCCTGGGTGGGTTCAAGACCCTAATATGGGTAATGAATGATTCTTGTCTCAGGAGCATTTAATAGTGCCCTGCTTGGTTCCCTTGGTATTGTGGTCAATCAGGACCATTTTGGGGCCACTATAGAAAGGAAAATAGCCGCCAATGTAATAATGTTGTAGAAATACAAACCCCGCAATCAGGATGATGCTCTTTGATCCTAGGTGGGTCTGAGCATCAAAGTGGGCAATAATGTAGCAGGGAGGAGGGGACAACATGGCAGGAAGCTAAAGCTTAAAGAGTTTAAATGTGAGGAATGTATTTACATAGCACCGAGGGTGAACTAGCCAACAGAGATGCATGCAAAGTTAAAGTTTGCTTCTTGCTTCTGTAACCTGCTTGCAAGGGTATATAAGGCAAGGCCCCCTTGTTCTTGGGGCTCAGCCTTTGGATGAGCAGCTGAGCTGCTGCCAGCACACTAGTAAACACTGCTTCCTAAAAATCCCTGGTGTCCTGTTTCCCTGCTTGAATATCCCACCACACACTGAAAACTACAACAATCAGATACAAAACATGGAAGTGTTTTATATGTTTAAAAACAAAAGTAAAGACTGAAATAAGGAGAAGAGAAAAGACTATAATTCAAGCAGACTTATAAAAGAGCTACACAAAATTAAAAAGACACAAAGGTGGGATTAGTGAGCTGGAAGATTAACTCATACACAATATCCATAACATATTTGAAATAGACAAGAAGAAAAAATAAGAAGACAAGCAACATGAAAGAATGTGAAGACGTCTAACTTATTCCAATCAGATTTCCAGAAAGACATAAGACAAAGTCAAAGAAATAATAGCACAGAATATTCTAGAACTGTTGGTCCAGAAATCCCAAGCAGTATTTCTTTTAAAAAAAAGTGTGTATTAGAGACAAAGCACTGTGAAAGTACAAGAGAGAATAAGTGAATTAGTTTAAGAGCAGCTGCTATGGAAATCAGTATGGAAGTTCCTCAAAAAACTAAAGTTAGAACTACACAAGACTCTGCTATACCACTCCTATATATATATATCTGAAGGAGTTAAGTCAGCATACAATAGAGATACCTGTTTATAGCAGCATTATTCACAATAACCAGTTCAACCTAGGTGCCCATCAACCAATAAATGGACAAAGGAAGTGTGGCATATATACACAAAAGAGTATTATTTAGCCATAAAGAGGAATGAAATTATATTCTCTCAATGAAAACGGAAAGAACTAGAAATCATCTTGGGAAGTAAAATAAGCCAGACTCAGAAAGACAAACATTGCCCACTTTCTCTCATCTGCAGAATTTACACCTTTAAAAATGAAAACAAAGCCAGGTGCTGGTGGTTCATGCCTGTAAGCCTAGCTACTTGGGAAACTGAAATCAGAGGATGGCAGTTCAAGATCAGCCTGGGCAAATAGTTCATAAGACCCATCTCCAAAGTGACCATAGCAAAATAGACTGGAGGTGTGGCTCAAGCAATAGAGTCTGCTTTGCAAACATGAAGTCCTGAGTTCAATTCCCTGCCCCCCAAAAAAGAAAAACAGTGACACGAATGTAAAAGGGAAACTTTGGTGGGGGAGCCAGCAGGAGAAGGAAAAAGGAGAGGGTGATGTAATATAAGTATGTTTTAAACGTAACTTAAAATATATACCAATTCTAGAACCCACCAAAAATTTTAGAGAAAAAAAAATAAACCAAAGATGCACAGGACTATTTTGGAAGAAATTTTAAAATGTTATTAAAGTGTATTAAAATAAGACCTAAATAAACTGACACCATGTTCAACAAGTGGACAGAAAGATTCCTTAACATAAAGATGTTGAAGACATTAGTTAGAGTGGCAATTGTATATCCAAATGGAACCAAAAACCAAAAACAAACTTGGATCCCAACTGTGTACTAGCCACAGAAAGCAGTTCCAGGTAGATTATAAATTTAATACAAAAGGCAGAAATTTAAAACCTTTGACAACAAAAATGGACAAAGATATTACAAGTATATATACATATATATATAAAACACAATATCTCTTATGAACAGACACAAAAATTCTAAACTAAATATTAACACACAAAGTCCAGTAATGTATAAAAAAAGGCTAAGTGCTATTATTATCAAGTGGGTTGTTATCATTTTAAAAGTAAGAAGGCCAAGTGTTCACAGGAGTAGATGCAAAACAATTCACAAAATTCAACACCTATCCACAAAAACACTCTCAATGAATTAGGGATATAAGGAAATGAGCTCACTCTAAAAAGCATCTCTGAAAAAGTCTATAGCTTATATTATACTTTAAGGTAAAATACCGCTCCCCTAAAACTGGGAACAAGAAAAGGATATTCACTTCCACCATTTCTGGTCAGCATTCAACATGGCACAGAGGTCCATGCCAGTGCAACAGGAAAGAAATAGAAATGAAAGGCATACAGATCCAAAAAGAAGAATCATGTCATGCAGATGACATGATTGTTTACATTTCCTAGAGAGTCCAAGAAGTAGAAGAACTAATAACTGAAAACAGCAAGGTTTCAGGATATAAGGTCAATATACAAAAATTGATTATATGCACACAGCAAGTAATTGGCAAAATAATGTAAGTGAATAATTCTATTTATAACTTTTTTTTAAAAAAGACTGCTAAGAGAAATTAGAGGAGATGAAAGTCTATGAAATGAATTAAAATGTTCATGAATTAAAAGGCTCAATATTGTTAGGATATTCTCTTTGAATTCAGCTAGATTCAACACAATTCCAGTCAAAACCTCACCAGATATTTTTATAGAAACTGACAGGCTAATTCTAAAGTACACATGAACATGCAAAGGATCTAGAGTATTCAAAGCAATCTTGAAAAAGACAACCACAATTGGAGGATACATGTAACCAAACTTCAATTCTGCTCTAAAGCTACAATAATGAAGACAACTTGGCATGAGAATCAACAAATATACTAATAGCACAGAACAGACTCACATATATTATGTAATCACTACAAAGGGTCCAAGCAATTCATTAAGTAAAGTCTACAATAAACCATGCTAAAATGACTGACTATAAAGGCAATAATGAACATCTACCCCTACCTCATAGCATGCACAAATATTAATTTGAGATATCACTGACCTATATGTAAAAATTACAATTATAAAGAATCTAGAAGATAACACAAAAAGAGAATATTTTCATGATGTAGGGGTAAGCATTAACCATAAAAGAAAAATATAGATAAACTTCATCAACATAAAAACACTCTACTCATCAAAAACCATTAAGAAAATTAATAGGCAGAGTGTTGGTGGCAAATCCTAGCTATTTGGTAGGCTGAGATAAGGAGGATCGTGGTTCGAAGCCAGTCCACGCAAGTAGTTCTCTAGTCTTCATCTCTGAAATAATCAGAATGGATTGGAGCTGTGGCTCAAGCAGTAGAGCACCTGCTTTTTTTTCTTCTTCTTCTTCTTTCAGCTTTTTTTTTTTTAATTTTTAAAAATTTTTTTATTATTCATATGTGCATACAGTGCTTGGGTCATTTCTCCCCACCCCGGCCTCCACCCCCTCCCTTACCACCCACCCTGCCCCCTCCCTCTCCCCCTCACCCCCACGATACCCGGCAGAAACTATTTTGCCCTTATCTCTAATTTTGTTGAAGAGAGAGTATAAGCAATAATAGGAAGGAACAAGGGTTTTTGCTAGTTGAAATAAGGATAGCTATACAGGGAGTTGACTCACATTAATTTCCTGTGCGTGTGTGTTACCTTCTAGGTTAATTCTTTTTGATGTAACCTTTTCTCTAGTTCCTGGTCCCCTTCTCCTATTGGCCTCAGTTGCTTTTACGGTATCTGCTTTAGTTTCTCTGCGTTGAGGGCAACAAATGCTAGCTAATTTTTTAGGTGTCTTACCTATCCTCACACCTCCCTTGTGTGCTCTCGCTTTTATCATGTGCTCAAAGTCCAATCCCCTTGTTGTGCTTGCCCTTGATCTAATGTCCGCATATGAGGGAGAACATATGATTTTTGGTCTTTTGGGCCAGGCTAACCTCACTCAGAATGATGTTCTCCAATTCCATCCATTTACCAGCAAATGATAACATTTCATTCTTCTTCATGGCTGCATAAAATTCCATTGTGTATAGATACCACATTTTCTTGATCCATTCGTCAGTAGTGGGGCATCTTGGCTGTTTCCATAACTTGGCTATTGTGAATAGTGCTGCAATAAACATGCATGTGCAGGGAGCACCTGCTTTGCAAGCATAAAGGCCTGAGTTGAAGGAAGAGAGGGAGGGAGGGAGGGAGGAAGGAAAGAATGGATTTCCTTTATTGGCAGAATATATTTTCAAAATGTACATCTAACAAAGGCCCAGTAAAAAAATAAAGAACTCCTAGAATTTGATAATTTAAAATGATCAAAGATTTGACTTGCTCCTTCGTACACTGATAAACACATTTTTAAAATGCTCATTAGTCATCAAGGAAATGCAAACTGAAACCACAATGAGATACAAACTGACTGACTAAAGTAAATAATTGACAATACAAAATATAATAAAGGATGTAGAGTAGATGGATGGGACTATTGATGGGACTGTTAAATGGTCAATCACTTTGGAAAAAGATCTATAATTTCTTATGAAACTAAATATAGATTGCATTACCTTAACATATGATCGCAGTAATGCTTAAAGAATATTTACACAAAAGTGTATACATGATTTCATTTACATAAACAGGGAAAATTCATCTATCAGACAAAATCCAAGTACAGATATATCTCAGAGAGATATTTCAGGTTCAGTTCCAGATCACTGTAACAAAGTGAGCATTGCCATAAAGCTAGTCACACAGAGTTTTTGGTTTTCTGGTGCATATAAAAATTATGTTTACACTACACTGTAGTAGATTAAGTGTTCAACAGCATTGTGTCTTAGAAAACAATGTACATACCTTAATTTAAAATTTTTTGTTGTCAAAAAATGCTGATAATCATCTGAGCTGTTGCAATATGGCTCTGATAGACTTGTTCTATGCAGGGTTGCCACAAACCTTCAATACATAAATAGCACAATAAAGCATATGCTTGCAGTAAACTTCCTGTAGGGGGTAGTATATGCAGGGATGGACTTTGAAAGGCATGAAGGAACTTTCTGGGGTGATGGTAACATTCCATATCTTGATAAGGATTTAGATCACAAAAATGTATGTGTTTATCAAAATTCATGGAACGACAGACTTAAGATCTGTAGGTTTAATTGCACATAATTGGGGAGGGGGGGTGCTGGCGGAAAAAGTATTGAATTCGTTGGTGGTGTGGCTATAAGGACTTACTTAGCAAGAGCAAGGACCTGAATTCAAACCAAGCACAGCGAATCAATCAATCAATAAAATACCACACTACTTAAAAAATATATTAAACTCTTAGGCTGGAGATAGTTCAATGGCAGAGCACTTGCTTACATGCATGAGGCCCTGAGTTCAATTCCTAGCACTGCAAAAAAAAAAAAATTGAATTCTAGTTAATACATAAGCAACAGTATCTAAAGGGTAGTATACTGGTATCTGTAACTTACTTTCAAATTTAAAAACTGCACTGATAGACAAATAAGACATGCTACAAGTAAGTACAATAAAATGCTAACTGTAAAATCCAATAGTAGGAATACATATGTTAACTATTGGAAGAAAAAAAAAACACAAAGAGGTAAAAGAGAAATCAAATTTCCTAGGTTAATGAAAGCAATTGACAGAACATGAAAAAATAAATCACAGAAGGGAGATCAGACCATATGAAGGGATAATTTTAAACAGAGGGGTCAGCAAAGGCCTCACTAAGAAAGTGACAACTAAGTAAGGACATGAAGGAGAAGGTAACTGGAAAAGCATCCAGACAGATGGAACAGCACAGAGGCTAATACGGATGAAACAAAATGAGTAAGATGAGCAAAAAGAAATAAGGAAAGATAAACGGGGGTCAGATCACCATTGCAAGTCTGTATACCGTGGAGACTTTCCCACCAAAGCAAAACCGCTGCAGGGTTTTAGGATAAGGGAAACTCTGTCTGATCTGACAATGCTTTTTAAACAATCCCTCTAGATGCTGTGTTTATTGGTAGGTAAGATCATTCTTTCTGAACCAGGGTTCTTGAGGAAAAACTAAAGCCTCAATGCCTTAAGCATTCCTTTGCATAAAATGAATTAACTACTGTTCTATCCATCAACAGTGAAACTAGTTATATAATATCTTTTTGAGAACTGAGAAAATAGTCATTCAAATCCTTTTTTGTATTCTAGGATTGGATGAAAAACACTGAGAGAAACTGAGCCTAGGAAGTTATGAATAGAAACAGGGAAACCACTTGTAGTAATCCAGGAAGAAATGGTGGTGGCTTGTACCAGGATGGTAACAGTGGAGGTGGAAAGAAGTCATTAAGCCTTAGATACACTTGAATATAAAGTAAAAGCTGAATTTGCTGATAGATTTGACACAGAGAATTGAGCAAAAGAGAGGAGTCAAGGTTAGCTTCCAGGTTTGGGCATGAACAAATGGAAAGATGGCATTGCCATTAAAAGAGATAGGGAAGGCTGGGAAAGGAACAGACTTGGGGTGTTCATTTTGTCATTATCTTACAGGGAAGTTAGTCTTCCACATGCATCAAATGATGCATGTAATAATTATTATGTATAAAAGTTCCATTCAGGATAAAGGACTAGAATTGAGAAGTAGTTGAAGGAGACTTGCAATGTACCTATATTATTTTAACTAAATAGTCACATGATTTTAATTATTTATAAGGAAACAGTTGATGTATTGCTTGCATGATATTTTTGGAAACCTAAATCCTCTGGGTAGATGGGATTATGGGTTATTTTCTTCTATTTTTTTTTTTTTTGGTAAGCTGTGTGTTTATTTCAGAGTCCAAATATACTCATAGCTAAAAAATAAAATGAATCTTAAGCCACATGTAAAATTTTATAAATATATTTTAAAACACTAAGAAACTTTCATTGTCATTGCATACAGATGGTATCGGGTTGTATGGGGTTTTTGTCTTCTGTTTCCTTTCAGCTACTTCAATTTGGCAAGGGGAGTATGATGAAAAAATCTACATAAAAAGAAAAGTTAAAACTCCTGAAGCCTTTAATTTTTCACCTCTTTTACCATTCTTGGGATACCTAAGACTTGAATTTTGCTTTTAACTGGATTCTAATCTCTTAAGAAATGAACACTGGATTTCTTCATTATGTCATTGGCTCAGACACTTTACTTTTGGGTATTTCATACTAAATAAATGACCCTGCGTTAAACATATGACTTGAAATTCATTTCCAGTGCTTGGATAATTACCTCTGCCTCAACTCCTTTTGGCTATCAATAGACTGCCTACTACTCCCTTGGAACTGACCTTGAGTCAGCTGGTGGGCCTTTAAAGAGCTGCTACTCCACAACCCAACAGAGTTGAAATTGGTCAAGTCTGTTCTCTGTCTAAAAGTAGAGATGCCAGTGTTTCTGCAATCCTATCAGCAAGAAGGCCTAAATGGAGCAGATAGATCTTCTGCCACCTCGGGGCCCCTCTACATGTAGCCTCCTCAATTCTGTTGGACATTTCTCTCTCAATTCTATCCCTGTACCCTCTCTGAGCACTAGTGCCCCAATGTCCAGCTGAGAAGGTATGTTCTTTGTTCTTATGTCTTTGGGATGTAATTCTTGCAATGATCAAGGACTAACTATCATATTGGAATCAACCTTGTACTAAAACCTCACCTACCTCATTTTCCCCAGCCTAGATTCCCCTGAATCTCTGTACTTGGCCTGGTACTAGTGCTGCTTTGCCACATTCTGAACCTGACCTCAGAAAACCAATCGCAGTGGCTTCTTATTCTCTCTCCTACTACTCATATCCATGTTAAGTTTCCTGCAAGCACCCAACTTCCTATAGCATCAAAACTTAGTATCTCTTTGGTGCAAAGCCTGTTGCTCAACAATAGCCTGTCCAACCTCTGCAAGGGAAAATTCTGGCAAATATAATATACTTACACTGGGAACAATACTGCTGAAAGTCCCTACTGAAATTTGACCACACTGATGAAAGTTGAAAAATGTTTGGCAAACTGACACTTAGACGTTCTAAGAAACTTATAAAACCAAGATTTTCCCCAAAATAAATGATCCAAAAGTCACTGGTAATTAGAAAGGTACAATTAACATCTGCTCGTAATTTACCTACACACATTAACCTACACAAGTCACAACCAATGAATTAAGGACTGCCACTACAGACAAAGATTCTAACATTCAGCAAGATTTAATAACTTTCTCTCAGTAGCCAGCAATTGGTAGAACTAGTATTCGAACCTGGTCTTTCTCACTTCAAAGTTAATCTTTTCATCATGCCACACTGATGTCCAAATCTCCAACATATCTAAGAGCTCCCAAAGCACTTCCAAATTCTTTACTTAACTATGTAAATAATATTCAGATTCATACAAATGTTTATTTTTGCTGATTGAGAAAAGGAATCCATATAAATATATAAAAAGTAAGATAATAACCTGGTATTATGATGAGTTTTTTTCTTTGCTCAGCCTGTTTTGTCTTTTTAAACTGCCAACCAAATTTTATAACAAGGCATCACATAATAAGAGTTTTCAGGGTCTTTTGTTCAATTTCAGGAAATAATCAATTGGGAAATCACTATCACAGTCTGAATGTCAAATTCTGAAGGCTAAGTTCAACAAAACTACCACCTCAGGGAATCCTTTCTAGTCACTCTCCAGCCAAGAACAGATAACACAAGCGCAGCTGCACTGTTGAGTCAGCTAATGAAGGCTCATTTAAAAACTTCAGCATCATACAAATTTTGTTTGAGCTTTTAACAAATTCTAATAATTTTTACATGCTGCTAGGGACAACCTGTACCACCTAAAATTATAATCTAACTAAAAAATCATTAATGTGACCACTTTGATGTATCTCTCCCTTAGATAAATAGTATGGATTTGAAAATGTTTATATTAAAAAGGAATAAATTACATATGCATTAATATTCAAGTCAAATAGTTTGATTTAACTGTTCCTCAATATATACATGTATCAAAACATCCATGTTACATAACATAAACACATAATTTTTGTCAATAAAAATAAATATATATACATTAATATTTATACATGAATTCAGAAAAGTAATGTCTTCCAACTCCACTGCTACTATAAAGTACTACCTAATGCATATCCAAAGCAGAAATACCACATGCGCATTGGATAGGGTGGTCATGCAACACTGCCCTTTCATGTGTGTCAATGGCCACTTCCTTGTTTTGACCTCCTCCTTTAGTCTTCACTTGACCTTTCCATTACCAAACCTGCTCTGCCTCTGAAATTACTAATTAAGATGTCCCAATTGTGAGCCCAGTTTCCTGTCCTTGGTGTTTCCTCATCTTACCTGTTCTAACCATCATGACTGATAGGGTCCCCCCCATGTATCAGACTCTCCTTTCTTCACTTGGAACCAGCTTGGATCTGTGATCAATGACAGAACAATACACTCAAGATCCATGTCTGTTCCTATCATTACTATGTAGGGAAATGCTTATCTCTGAATGAGCCAACTATTTACCTTCTCTGTGCGTAATATGTGTGGCTGGGGAAAAAAAATCCCACGCAAACATATCACATGTCTAAGACTGCTGTTTGAAGGCAGCCTAGGCAAAAAGTTAGTGATTTTCCCATTTATGATATGTGTGGGTATAGATGCCTATCACCCTAGCTATGCAGGAAGCATTAAGTAGGAGGACTGCAGTCCAGGCCAACCCAAGAAAAAACTCGAGACCTTATCTCAAAAATAACCAAAGCAAAAGGGGCTGGAGGCATGGCTCAAGTAGAAGAACACTTGCTTAGCAATCTCGAGGTCCTGAGTTCAAACACTACTGTTGCCAAAAGGAAAAAAAAATATTCTACCTCTAAAACTTTTACACTTACAAAGTCTACATCAACTGAGTCTTCAATGTCATCCAGTTATTCTTTCTACACTAGTTGACCTATATAGCTATTTTAAATCTTCTCCATATATATTCAAACTCTAATCTCCACACAGTTTCTTCCTCACTCTTAATATTTGATCTTACCATCTACTTCATTAAGAAAATAGAAGCCATCATACAGGCATTGCCTCAACTTTCCAGGAACACACGCATTCATTTAATAAATATTAAACGCCACTAGAAGTCTGCACACTGGAGTTAGATCACCTATGTCCTTATCTTAGCTCTGCCACTTGGGTAAACTACATAACCTCTTTGAGCTTCTCTTCATTCATTTCCAAGTTGGAGAAAATAGTAGTACAAATTTCACAGGCTGTAATGAAGTTTAAAAGAGATAAGAATATTTGGAGCATTAAGAATGGTGCCTGCAAGGGAGATATGAGGATAGGTAAGACACCTAAAAAATTAGCTAGCATTTGTTGCCCTCAACACAGAGAAACTAAAGCAGATACCATAAAAGCCAACAGGAGAAGGGGACCAAGAACTAGAGAAAAGGATAGATCAAAAAGAATTAACCTAGAAGGTAACACACATGCACAGGAAATTAATGTGAGTCAACTCCCTGTATAGCTACCCTTATCTCAACTAGCAAAAACCCTTGTTCCTTCCTATTATTGCTTATACTCTCTCTTCAACAAAATTAGAGATAAGGGCAAAATAGTTTCTGCAGGGTATCGAGGGGGTGGGGGGGGAGAAGGAGGGGGCGGAGTAGGTGGTAAGGGAGGGGGTGGAGGCAGGGGGGAGAAATGACCCAAGCATTGTATACACATATGAATAATAATAAAAAAAAAGGGAATGGTGCCTAACTTGCACACCCATGTTTATTGCAGTGCTATTCACAATAGCCAAGTTATGGAAACAGCCAAGGTGCCCCACCACTGATAAATGGATTAAGAAAATGTGGTATTTATACACAATGGAATTTTACTCAGCCATGAAGAAGAAATCTTATTGTTCTCAAGTAAATGGATGGAACTGGAGAACATCATTTTGAGCGAGGTTAGCCAGGCTTAGAAGACCAAAAATCGTATGTTCTCCCTCATATGCAGACTTTAGATCTAGGGAAAATACAGGAATATGGTTGAACTTGGGTCACATGATAAGGGGAGAGCACATACGGGAGGTAAGGGGATAGGTAAGAAACCCAAAACATGATAGTATTTGATGTCCCCACTGCAGAGGAACACAGAAACCTTGAAGTGACAGAGGTCAATATGAGAAGGGGATCAGGAACTAGTGAAAAGGTCAGTCAGAGATGAACCAACTTGGGATGTAACACATTTGTACATGGAAGCAATGTTAGGAATCTCTCTGTATAGCTATCCTTATCTCAACTAGCAAAAACACTTTGTCTTTCTTATTATTGCTTATACTTTCTCTTCAACAAAATTAGAGATAAGAGCAGAACAGATTCTGCCTGGAAGTTGGGGGGTAGGGGGGAAAGGAAGGGGGTCAGGGGTAGCGGGGAAGAAATGGCCCAAACAATGTCTGCACATATGAATAAATGAATTAAAAAAAAGAAAGAATGGTGCCTATAAATATTTTTTCCTGGTACTGGGGTTTGAACTCAGGGCCTCACACTTGCTAGGCAGGTATTCTATCACTTCAATCACTCTGTAAAATAGGTATAGTGTGTAGTGGGAGAGGGAAGGTGAATAGAGGAGATGAAAGTAAGGGAATATGGTTGATGGGCTTCGTATACATATATGAAATAGAACAATGAAACCTCTTGCAATTGCTTTAAGTGGAGTGGGAAGGGAGTTGGGAGAGGAGGAATGGTAGTGGTGACTTAACCAATGTACAATGTGAACCTATTCAGAATTGTCACAATAAATCCCCCCTGTATAATGAATATATCCTAATAATAATTTTTTTTAATTTTAAAAAGAATGATGCTTAGCTAGGCCTGGTGGCTCATGCATGTAACCCTAGCTATTCTGAAGATCATGGTTTGCGGTGAACCTAGCCAAACAGTGTGCAAGACTCCATTTCAACCAATAAAAAGCCGAGCATGGTGGCATGCACCTGTCATCCCAGCTATCCTGGAAGTGTAAATAGAAGGATCTTGGTCCAAGCAAGCACAAGGCTCTGAGTTGAAACTGCACTACTGTCAAAAAATAAATGCCTGACACAGAGTAAGCATGTCATAAACATTAGCCGACATTGCTACTAAGATGACAATTACGTGAAGCAGACACCAGATATATGTATACATCCATGTCCTACCCCCATGTCTCTTACAACAGAGGAAATGTTGCCTTCTTTTAACTGGGTTTAGGAGAAGATTAAAAAAAAGAAGCAGCTCAAATAAATACAGCCTAATCCAAGAAAACACATATGACTAACTCGCCCAAGGTCAAAAGGATATTAAAATGTAGAGTTGGCATTATTAGTCAAGTTTAACTCTGTAATTACATCACTCTATGTTCCAAATTTCCAACATAATTTGGCAGAAAGTTCTAACTAAATACCTCAGCTCCTGCTAGAAAAGTGTAGCTCAGATTTGACAAATGAGAACTTTCCTTAAAGTGAAAATGGGCCTTTAAAGGCCTGAAACTACAAGTGTGCATAAAACGTTGTAAATTATGGAGAAGGGAGTACTGAATTCTGAAATTGGTCAGGGAAAGTTTCACTGCCTAGATGATGCCAATGCGAATATTCTGAAGAGACATATGCAGAAAATCCCTGGCCGTGAGTTAATAAGGGGCAGGGAATGCCTTGATGGTAAGAAACAGTTATAGCAGTTACCAGCAGGAAACCTCTTGGACATGACAAAAATCTGTTTAATAAAAAAAGAGAACATATTAAATCTATTTGTCATATGGGCAGAATCAAACAGTACAGCATGAAAGTCCGAAGATCACCTGAGGACTGGAAGCAGAGTCCCTTCAAGTAGGCAGTTAGAGTTCCAACAGCTGTCAAGGAATCCCAATCCTTCAAATACTATTAAAGAGGTAATATAAAAGAACTTTAAGGAGTAACTGTAGATATGGCAGATAAGAGATTGCACTATGTTCAGAACACCTGGAATCACTTAAGAGACATGTGTTATCATCTGGGAATCAGAGATTAGAGCCCAGGACCAGTGGCTCAGGTCAGTTCAGAACAGCATTTCAATTTCTCCACAGTGACTGTGGAGGGCACAGTCCTTGGTAGGGCATTTAAAATGGCAGTTTTCCCACAAGTCTGGGTAAATAGCAAGGAATACATTTTAAAATGAAGAGAAAGAGTAAGAATATTTTTCAAATGCCAGGCTACCCTGAACACCACATTATATCAATAATTCTTACATACATTATATTTAATTCTAACAATGAGGATATAATTCATTGTTAATAATGTAATCATCAGTAGGAAACATGAAATTCAGACAGGTGAAATACCTTGTTCAGGGTCCTACAGCTCACAAAAGATAGAGTTCTACATCTATTTGTCTATGCCACTATGACCTTTTCACATGGGAATAGGAGTTATAAGTCACAAAATGATGTCCCCTATGAACCTAGGCCAATGGCTTATAAACAAAAGCCATCCAAAACCTGGAATTTACTTTCAATAATACTTAAAAATGAATACGTATAATTAGGAGCATCTTTGTCAAGTGGGCATATTAGAAGAATCAATTCAGCAAAGGCAAAGTAGGGGCATCTTACCTGGAGGACATCCAGCCAGCTGGATCATCCTGGGTAGTGACCAATGCCCACCTTTGGCATTCAGCAGAATGCTCCAGTCATTCTGGTATCTGGGACAGGCATCCTCTGGCATTGCAGCTCAGTCACAGACACTGGCAGTGGGGGAGGCTGAGAAGGTGTGTAGGTGCCTCTCTCCAGGCCACCTTATTCATCACCAGGTTAGGGGGACAAACACTCAGAGTTGGCCCTACTATAGGAGTGAGAAATGCTCTGGCATGAGAAAAGCAGCACAATATCACACAATATCAACTTTGGCACCCCTAAGGATGACTGTATCTACAAAACAATGGGGTAGGGGCTGGACAGGCAAACGGCAAATGGATTTCACTCTAGAGGGTCTTCACCATGGACCAAAGTAGGTGCTTAACACATGCTTAGTTAATGAGAAAAGTTATTTAGTAAACTACCTAGATTTGTTTTCAGATTTTTCTTTTTCATTTATTCATATGTGCATACAATGTTTGGGTCATTTCTCCCCCTTACTCCCTGCCCCTCCCTTCCCCCCCCCCATTTTCAATTTTTTTAAGCAGTAAATCCCTGGATTTAAAATGAGCCAAATTTAACCTTGAGGTAAGATTCCAGGGCCATCGAATCTAAACCTGGGGCCCAGGGAAATTAATGCTCTAGCTCTGGATGTTAAAACCACACGTGTGCTATATGGGCATGATTTGTGCTGCTCTAGTCGGCTCCAAAGAGTAGCTCCTTGTAGGTATATGTGAACGTGGCCACTACAAAAAGCCCAAAACACTGAAAGCAATCCTGGAGAGTGGTGGGAAAGCACAGCAGAAGAACAACGGAAATTACTTTTCTTGCAATCACTGTTTTTCAGTTAGCATCTTCACAGATCTCTACTCCTGGGTCAAATTAGAGCTGATCAAGTAGAGAGTGGGCCCATGGACAGCGCTTACCTTCAAAGAGGAAGGAACACTCATGATGCCCATTTGCTTTTAAAGGTTCCCAGATAGCAACAGTATTAAGCTCTCATTTTCAGCATTAGCTGAAAGAGTGTTCAAAGCCTTGAAAGGCAGAGGGGGGAAGCAAGGGAGCCTGCCGAGGCATCGCAGCTGCCTTGAAAGCTGGAGACCAGTGCAGTCATAGTCCATCAGTTTCATGCCTGTGGTTTTCTTTCATTCTCAGAGTCAATTTAAATTACTAATAATCAGGAAACCTACATGACAAGACATCCATTAAAGACAACAACTAATAAAATCAAAACTAAATATCAAATCAGATCGTGGTATGGCTGGCTCCTGGTTATCATTTAAGCTTGCACAGAGTGCACACTAATACAGTGGAGGAATTGCTCCGAAGAGCAAAACTAATTGCCTTTGTGAGGTCTCACAACTCACAAAACTCCTTCAAGGGAAGATACTGTTTTGTTAACAAACAGTAGCTACTTAAAAATCCCAGATGCTCACAGGCACATACACATGCTTGGTGGACAGAGGCATGGGGTGGGGTGGGGGGTGGGGTAATAAATTTCTAAACTTCTCAAAAAGCCTGGGGGCCACCTTACTATAATTACATGAACCATAAGTGAAAGGGTATAATCTAGTTTTCAAGTCTGATACAAATAACTTTGAATAAGTGAATGTGTCTACTTTTTCTTTGCTGTTCTTTGCCTACTAAAGTAACTATCCAAATTATACTAAGACTAAATATAGTCACACTGCAGCCAAAGCAACTCGGCAGTGCTGGGCAATATCGTATGTAAAATTTAATTTAAAAACTACCAGAGCTATATATGGGTGACCAGAGCATTACTTTCACATCTGGTCAGATATCTTGGACAAGTAAAACAGCAATACCTCCTTTTCCTTTAGTGTTGCTCTTTGACCAGGCTGGCCTCGAACTCACAATCCTCCTGTCTCAGCTCCCGAGTGCTGAGATTACAAGTGTGTATCACCTCGCCCAGCTAAGTAGTACCTCTTCTGGGCCTCACTGGTAAACTGAGGGATAAAAACCTGACTATAAAAATTACGAGTGGAGAGTTTCCTCGTGTTGACTATAGTCCCGGTACTTGTCTGTTGAAAGAGTGAATGAGGTCCATTTATGAAACAGAGTTCAAAAAAAAGAAAGTCATTGTGCAAGACAATACAGCTTCTAAATGAAATGGGGATTCAAACTTAGATTTGTCTGACAAAACCTAACTTTTTATTTTCTTCCACTGAGCAAAATAAATATTTCTATGAAACTAAATTACATCACTTGTTCAAAATCACACATCCAAAATCATCTGAGTCTGTTCCAGAAAAAGAGGACATACCACCATTTGAAATTCCTAAACCCTATTTTAGTTCAGGGTTTTTACGCCTTGTTTACATTCATGTAATGTTGAGTAATTTGGCAGGCAGAGCACGAGGAGCCCTTGACTGTCTCCTAGAGGTTACCTTTGGCCACTCTAGTTCCTTGGTTTTTGCTAGAGTGCATGATTTGTTCCCTACCATTCTATTCCACTGCTGAAATGCCAATGTGTTGTTGGAATGGCCCGTATTCCTCCAGCATGCATGGTCCAAATTTTTGCAAAGCAGTTACAAAGGCAATTTTGGAAACATACAACTCTTAACAACTCTCCCATCTGGTTTTCACACCAGCCCCTTCCTCCATAAGCCCACAGAAGTCACAGTCAGCTCCTGTTTTCTGGGAAACTAGCTGTCTTTTCATCTTGCTGAGGGTACGTTATGTCTGTCTGTCAGCAAATTGGAAAATGGTTTCCATCCTGACAGATACATTTTGTAAAGGCTTAAAAGCACATACACTAATATGAAGGAAAAAGGAGGAAATTTTTCTGTTTTGGACTCTGGCTATTTGCTCTTTACAGCTTAGTGTCAAGGAAATGGGATTTTCCAGGTAGATGTACTAATGTAAAATGCAGTAGTATTAAGGTGGGGGTCTCCCAATCCACCTAGGGCCAATGGGTTAATACAAAATGACAGAATTTAATGACTGCTATTATGGTTACCAAGCAACACAGAGAAGGTGTGCCATAAAGGCCTAATTAATGAATGAGGTAGTAAGAGTTTCTGTTAAGTTGGTAAGCAGTTCACAGTTCACCATTGGTTGGCTTTGCCCAGATGGTAATACTCTTAAGCTTTCTTAGCTCCACTGAGCAGCAACAAAATAATGTGATTATAGTTGCAGCTCTGGTTAAAGTTCTGACATCCTTTCCATACTCAGTACAATTTCTCAACCTAGTTGAAACAACTGTCTTCTGAGAAGATCCCTATGGAGGACGGTATGCTTATGTTTTGTACCTTAGGTGATCCAATCCAGAGGAACACGGGAATGATTCTTTTCTGGGAACTCTTCTGCTGCAGTGACATTAAAAGTAGTAAAAAATCTGAGGCCAAACTGGATTGCCATTGGAACTAGAGGCAAAATGTTCTTTTCAAAGGAGAGCCTGAATGATGGTAACAAAAGACTGTAAAGAGAATGCCCACAACTTAACTAAGTTCTGTGCTAGTGCTTTACGTTATCTTGTTTCCACAGTGCGAGCAGATAGGAATTACTTCTTCCATCTTATAAGCTAAGGCTCAGAGAGGCTAAGACCTTGCTCAGCATCACACACTCTGCTAAAAATGCACCTGAACCAGGATTCTAACCCTGTTCTGGCTCCCAAAACCTGGGGGTATTTTTGTTTGTTTGTTTTTCCTCATTGCACCAAGCTGTCACTGCTGTGGATGACAATCATGAACACAGTGCCAGGGTATACTCAGACATCAAACATGAAGTTGGTTCTTAAATGTCTATTATCTTAATTTAATCCATCCTAATAACAACTGAGACTCTGCTGGTATTATTAACTCCCATTTTAAACAGAAAGAAAATGAGGCTCAGTTTGACTAGTAAATGAGGAAACCAGTCCTTGAACTCAAGTCTGTGGATGCAAAGCCTGCTTTCCTTTCACTCTGCTGCACTGCCTCAGTGACGACACCAACTCATAATTAAAGGCTCACCCTCATTTAATTTCCATACAGAAAATGAACAATGTACTCAATTACTCTGTTCCCTCTATGCCATAGTCGCCAATCAAATACATGAACTTTTCTTTAAAGAATGTAATTCTACATTGGAATGCAGCCCCAAATCACCACATAATTCAAATAGGGAAAGGCCCCTGAGAGCAGGTGTAATAGACTGGCACAACAGAAAAATTTTTTTTCTTCACCCAACTACCAGCTATGTTTTGAAGAAAACAAGAGGGGCAGGGTGGGGGGACAGAAGAGGTAGCTGTCTCAGAGTCTCAGATAGCCTGAGCTCTAAGGGAAAAAGCTCTCATTCTTCAATGGAGGTGGGTCTGTGCATGCTGAGGGGCCAAAGCAGGGGTCCCAAATGAACAAAGGTAGAGAGAAGAGGAAGAAAGAACAGTCTGAGACCAGCTAAAGTGTTCTCATTAATGGGCCTGCAACTTCCCAAATAATCAAAGTAGAGGACTTAACTTAGTCTAGCAAAGAATCAGAAGAATTGCCCCTCTGATTCTTTCATTCTCTGAAATAGTCTTTGTACAAGACTACTACAAACAAACTACAAACACTTATTTTTCTGACTATCAAGGTTATTTAATATACATTTTCAGACAAAACTTGGAAGAGTTAACTTTGTCACTGTCAACATTTTCTCTTATGGCTGGGCCATGATTATGTACAGCCGACTCTCGCTTATCTGTGGCAATGTCTAAAATCCAGGAAAATTTCCTGCAGCCATCGAAGATATGCGTGGATTACCTCAGTCTTGCTGTTTGTAAGTGCACACTTGAGGAACACAACAACCCAGTGCTAGTTTAGGCAAAATGGAATTCAAAGACGAAATCAGTCACTTTTGCCTAAAAGAAATGGTATTCATTCATGTATCAAAAATCCAGGAGCACTTAAAAGGCAAAGTACTAGGGATTTAGGTATAAGAAATGGCACTTTCAGATTATAAATGATGTTCTTCCAAATGAGTAAGTGAGAACTGGCTTCTGCCTTAGATTACAGCTCGCTGATTTGCTCACTCTCCATACCACTTTTCCCCTCCCCCTCTACCCTAAGGCAGGTCCCCACAGCTTCTTACCTGAAACCAGCTCCTCCAAACTGGAGCCAAAAATTTGATTAACTCACTCCTTGCTGAACATTCTCCAGATCATGCTTCAGTGACGTGGCATGTGAGGCCCTTGCATTCTGGGTCTCTCAACTGCACTTTCTGCCATTCCCCACAAAGCTGGAGCATGCGCTGAATGAGTTGCCACTCTGCAGAAGCCCTGTGTTCCCCTGGGTCTGGGGTCGAACAGCCTCTGCCTGTGGTGTACAACCTGCCTACACTGCCTCCTTACCTCATTCCTGTCCTAATTCCCACCCGTGAGGGTAATACTTAATTGTCCTTTAGGTTTCATCTTACTTCCCATCTCCTCCAAGGGAAGCAAGCTACCTCCCACGGGGCTTCAAGCTTTTATATGCTTTTCTACATTATCATGTTGAGATCACTGGTTTGAGTATCTCTCCCACAAGGACATCTTATTTTTCTATCTCCAGTGTCAACTGTATCGCCTGATTCACAGTAGAATGCATGTTAACTGAACCAATTGCTTACTGGATGGGTGAATGGAGCATACCTAACACTAAACTTATTCAACTGTGAATTTTTGCTTGCTGCTCAGATTGTTAAAGAAGAAAATTCCAAAGTTTTCTTTCTTCATTATTCTTCTTGAAGGCATTGAACTAGTGTAGTATTCTTAGCACTTGGTGCTCACTCCCATTGTTAAAGTCAATTTAGTTGCTCCAATTAACCTGGATTTCTCATTCAAACTCCCAGACTTGGAAATAGAGAGCAACAATACAAAACAAGCACCACTCATCAAGGGAAACTGAAAGAGGGAGGAGCCATGAGATCACACCTGTGGAATATCTAATCAACTTCAAAACTGCACATACCTAAATTGCCTAATGAGACTGCAGTATGAATTTCACCCCTTCGCGCTAAGTACTGAAAGTAAACTGCATTCTTGATGCTGCT